TATCTATCTATCTATCTATCTATCTATCTATCTATCTATCTATCTATCTATCTCTATCTCTATCTCTATCTCTATCTCTATATATAGGCTGGTTTCCCAGGGTCTGGCCAGGAGTTTTACCACAACAGCCCCCCTCCCCCCAAACGCCGCAGAAGGGGCTTCCAGTGACCCACCGTCATGTTCATCCTCGCTTGGAGCATTCATGGGCTCTCCCCCTCCCACCCACCCCCCTCCAGCTCTGCCTTGTGCTGTGAATGTGGTCCAGTCTCGTGTTTCCTGCCTCCCTTCCTGTTTCCCTCCCCAGCTTGAGTAACCTCTGCTGAGCTCCCCCCTCCCCCTCCCACTTCCTCTGCCATCAGTCAGAAGGAGGTGCTATCATGGTGACCCAGAACCCCTGCAGCTCATTGGGGGGGGGGCACACACTGGGGAGGGACACTGGATATATCTTGGGGGGACATGTGTTTCCAGTCCTGCTCTCAAACTGGTTTCATTTACTCTGCCACAACTCATTTCTGGTTTTTTGTTTGTTTGTTTGTTGTTGGGGTGTGTGTGTGTTTCCACAGCACCATTTCTAAACTGTTAGATTTAATCCAGGTTTTTACAATTAATTCAAATTTGATGCACATTCTTATTTAGCAAATGTAATCAATTTTCACATTATACTCTCAAAACTCTTACCCATTTTCAGCACTTGCGTGGACAGCAGAAACGATGTCTTCCAGTATCTGAAAATGATCTTTCTGAGAAGAATGCTGATCACTCCCTTCACTGTCAAGTGAGTAAAACAGAAAGATGCTTATTTGGAATCAATGTTTCAGAGATTTTTGAGTCCTACGTTTATCAATATTCTACGCTGCTTATCAAACACTAAACAAGTAAAAATCACATGAAGGATACGCTAAGTTTATCCTCATTTGGTTTGCTTTGTTTCAATTGAATGTAATATGTGAATCCAACCATTTGTGGATCTGCAAACAATTTAGGGCTTACCGGAAGTAAGCTGAATGAACCCATTTGAACTTGTCCAACAAATCTCATTTAAAGAAGCCCTGATTTAGTACTATTATGAGTTCAACTTTCATAAACTGGCTTTGAACTCAACTTTCATAACTGCGTTTTGTAACTGCCAGAGTAATTTTTGTTTTAAAGAGAAATTAAGACACAAGATCCCCTCTAATTAATAATAAAAAGTATTTTATTTCATTTGCCAGGAAAGTTGTCACATTAATCAGTATTAACAAATCACACCTATAAAGACCTTTAATATGAAAGCATGTTAAAGAATCAAGGCATCAAGGGGCCTATTTGGATTTTCTGCAAAAGCAAAAACAAAAGCAAAGCAAGGAACATATGGTACTGTTGTGGCCCAGCAGGAGCCGTTGGAGCTGCCACCAGACTCCGACAGTGAAGGGCCCTATGAGTTGGCTCTGAAGGATGTGGAGGACCCTGGACAGGGTTCCGACTCCGAGCGGGGCGCAGAGAGGCTGATTGGCCACCAGGAGGCACCTGAGCCTTGGATCAGTGGGGAGAGTGAACCGGAGGCCAGTAGTGAGTTGTTCCTGGATGCATGCCATCGAAGAGCTACTAGGCATCAGGAACAATTACGCAATTACAGGAGGTGATTGTACTCAGCTGGTGGTCATTAGGCTCCTCTCCAGACTATAAAAAGCTACTTGTGTACACGCCCCTCTTTGCAAAAGTCAGCGCACGATTGAATGTCGGAGGACATTACTGTGAGCTTGGCAGGCTGGATTGCTGCCAAGCCTTATCTGTGTTTATTGCTGCCTGAGTTTGTCTGAGTTGCTGCCAAGGTCCTTATCTGTTTGTTATGCTTGGCTTTCAGCCACCGAGGTCTTGGTGTCTTGCTATTAAAATACATTCCAGTTAAGCTTGTCTTGGCATTCATTACTGGACGGAGGAGGGGGGTCAGAACATGGTACTATTATATATATATGTCCTCTTTTTAAAAAGAGATTGTTATAAGATTATACCATTTCAATTATATTTAACGATACACTCTTAAAAGTTCTGAAATGCATAATTTAACTTGCCTCAAAGCAGCTATCACTCTGATTAGAGCTGTCTCAACAACATCCCTGGGTGAAAGTCCTAAATCTCCAACAGCAACATCCAGTAATGTTTTTATCATGTTCAAAGGTTGTCCATCCAAGCACATTGTTACAACTTGTTCGTGGATTCTTTTCTTTTCTGACCGGGATATGTCATATTGATAGCCATATTCTTGCAGAATTTTCTATAAGGGGAAGCCATTTAAGTGTGAGTTTAAGTCATAACAACTCAATATTTCTTTCCAAAATTCAGATTTCATTGCTAACCTAGAAATAACCTTTTCAGAGACAAGGAAAACAAAAAGCTCCAAACTTTATTCCAATCAATCATGACAGAAATAATGACAGAAATCATTATTCCCACCACTGCACCAAGCAATTTGTAAAATTAATTAAAATTAATCTCATTAACGGTTACCTTAGGGATATTTATGGTATTATACTTTGTGTATGTAAAAAAAAATATATCCACAACTTCCTTTTCCACCTTACCTTTATGATTTTATTAATAATACAAAAATGACCATCAAGCAACACTATTGCAGAGTCCAAATCTATCGTATTATCTAATAAAAATAATTGCAGATGATCCTGCAAGATCCAATCTGGGTTGATCGCCGAGACCAGAGGTTTAACTCTTCCAAGCTTTTGGTCTCGTGCTGAAGCCCCTCCTCAGGGAACTTCCCTCTACCGGAATATACACACACACACACACATACATTGACCTAGATTGGATCTTGCAACATTGTCCTGGGACACGTATATTTGACCTTCACAGGTGATCCTCTTTTAATTATCACTCCTTCACTGACCATTAAAACTTGAAGGTACTGAATGAGTGGTAGTTGCAATTGGTTCTTGAAGTTCTGCCTATCACAGAACCCTGAGGGACACATGATCATGATCTGGGAGCTTGGAAATCAGTCTGGATTTCCAACCAGTGCAACGCCCTACAGTCATGTAATTCCAATTTGCAACCTTCCCTGCTGGCTTCCCACAAGCAAATTCAACAGGGGCGCCGGCAGAAAGTGGAGTGTTACAATCACAAGATCCTTCCTTAATGAGCCCTGTGATCCTCACTTAAAGATGGTAACCAGGGAGCGCCAGAACTGGCCACTACTAAGCAACGCAGTCAACGTTATGTTGAGCTTTATATCACTATCACTTAGCGATAGACATTCTGGTCCCAATAAACCTTAGTGAGGAGTACCTTTCCAAGTTTTAAAAAGAAGTGAAACACTATGATTCTGTCACCTGAATTATTTCAGCGTGAAATTAAATCTGGCTACTTTTAGGGTATGTTTTTACAGAGTGAAACCAACCTAGATGAAGGCGGATGGGAAAATGTATTTAGAAAACTAGTGCACAGAGATTCTACTGTATATGATACACGATCTTGATTTGTTTCTGCTAAATCTTTTTCACCTACCTGGTCACTGGTTTTCAGGTAAGAAATAAAACTATGACTAAGGGTTTCCAGGTGTGCAAGGGACTGCTGGAGATGATTCAAAACATCTTCATAAGTGATTTGCCTGTGAACTGCACCTTCTGTGAGATCCCCCTCAGAAGCCCTTTTCCCAGCTTTTTCAGCTGAATGTTTCATCGACTTTATGGCTCTCTTTGTCATCTCTACTCGGGAGTCGACTGACAGCTGAGGAAAGATAATGCTCAATTCATCATAAATTGTCACTAGCATTTATAGTACAAGTGGTGATTGAATGCACATGAATCGGGGATACCGAAACTGAATAATATACATTGATTAAAATATTTCCTCTTTTTTTTCTTTAGTAAAGAACCAGAATGTGTTAAATATAACAGAACATGAGCGAGAGAGAAAAAAAATTGTTTCTGAAAAGAGCTTTTGCCTTCGAAGTCTAATCCCATGCTATTTCTATTTTCATGCCTAAGCTTCCCTTGAATGATTCCATTATGTAATTTTTAAAAACATTTAAAAACACACAGAGACAAAACTATTTCCTTCCTTATAATAGCCTGTGGAAATCTCCATTCTTCAACTCATTTGACAAATGCCTCTGAAGCTATTAGTTGAAGTATTCCACTTAAAATAGTATTGAAGTCAAGAGCACAAAAGGATTAACAAGTAAACAGGAAGGCAGAAGAACTGAGCAATCCCATTCTTTCTCCAAAATGAGTTTTCAAGCACCTACATATTGGGATTTTCATAATGTTACTCTGTTTGGTTGCTACAGATTCCTCTACCTCTGACAATTAATAATTTCTCAGGAGGGAGAAAAAAGAACTGTATCTCAGTCAAGGAACACTTCCAGATGACTTTTAAAAAGCAGAAAGTTTTTCCTCACTGATCCACAAGTAAACTTTTACAGTTCAGAATTCTCAATGTAAGCAATCTAAGTTCATGTATCATGCAAGCCATGGTTTGTTTAGCCGTGGTTATAATTACATGGATTCATATAACATATCATTAAATGTTCATACAGATTATGGGTAACTGTAAAGCAGTAAATTTAGTCATGTCTATCATATAGTAAATATCTTTATTTTTTACTGTAAAATTAAAACAAAGTATTTCCAAGTATTGTAGAGAAATATATATAGATAATTATATTTATGTATGTTCCTTGCTTGACATGTGCATTTTTCTGTTTTTCCTCTCTGAAAGAATGAAAACTATAGACTCTCCAAAACTGAGAGGAATGTATTATCTAAGAGTATCTATCTAACATAATTCATCTAGAAAAATATACTACATTTTGCATTGTCCCCATGACTACTAACTACACTAAACTACAATAAAAGATCTTTTGTAATTATGTTAAATTTGTATATCTAATTAAGGTCTAACTCTTCATAGCAAATAACTGAACTCCAACTGAAGACATTTTGTAGCCTGATTTATTTTGAATGCTACAGCATAAACTAAATTAATAAAAGTGCACCTACTCAGCTATAGGTTTAATTGAATTTGATAAAGATTAAAAGTAGTTAAATTTTATAGAAAGGAGCTGTTTAATCCTTCAGATGCATTATCTGGTCCGATATGCTGTAATTTGATCAAGCAGTAGCTTGAACTGTGATAATCGTCGCCTGAAATGCTACCTCAGGCTTAAGATCTTGGGCTAAACCAAAATCAGGGTTCTGTAGTCTTCCAGATTTTGCAAAACCAAAATTCCAAGCACTTACAGCTAAAACAACCTATAGTGAGACTAAGGGCTAGTTTAAACTAAAGGTGTCAAAATTTTCTTCCAAATTATCCTAAAAATGTACATCTTTGCATTGGTGGGAGGTATGCCATATAGTTAAGGACGCGGTGGCTCAGTGAATAAGATGCTGAGCTTGTCGATCAGAAGGTCAGCAGTTCGGTGGTTTGAATCCCTAGTGCCGCATAACGGAGTGAGCTCCCGTTACTTGTTCCAGCTTCTGCCAACCTAGCAGTTCAAAAACATGTAAAAATGCAAGTAGAAATAATAGGAACCACCTTTGGTGGGAAGGTAACAGCATTCCATGTGTGTTCGGCATTTAGTCATGCCAGCCATATGACCACAGAGACGTCTTCGGACAGCGCTGGCTCTTTGGCTTTGAAAGGGAGATGAGTACCGCCCCTAGAGTCGGGAGTGACTAGTACATATGTGCAAGGGGAACCTTTACCTTTATGCCATATAGTCTTGAGTTAACAATTTCAACATTCATAAAGCCACAAATTGCCTATCCCAGCCTTGCTAACCAAGTCTGACTGAAATCCCTGCAATTTTCCTGATCCTTATCCTACTGTTTTGTTTGATTCCAAATTGGTAGCTTTCCTTATTAAGAGTTCTTGTCAGACAAGACAAAAAGGAAGAGATCATCTTCAGAATCGTTTATCACAATTTTGTGTAATGGCTCAAAGCATTTTTGAGATGCTATCCTTTTTCAAAAGCTCAGACTGAATATAGCTTGCAAGTAATCTCTATTATTTTAAGTCCAATAGAGTTGCAGTCAGGACTTTCAACTGTTCACGACTCCACATATTGAATAATAGTTCACTTTGTTCTATCTACATTTGTCTATCTGCCTTACTTAGGTTCTAAAAGCGTGCTCTAATTTCTGCACTGAAATTACCAATTCTTTTATGGAAAAATAGATTGATTTTCTTCCCAAGGAAATAATTGTTTTCAGTTTACGTATGTATGGATTTTCACTAATTCCCATGTTGAATAACCTGTTCAAAATGTGATTTGCTGTACACATATACCCATATAAGCTATTTATATTGTTTAATACAGGAGCTACACGCTTTTTAAAGTTGCAAGCACTATCATATGATTTTGCGCAATGCTGTTGATGCCAAAAACACCCACTCCTTGTTTAGTGACAAAGTTCCTTTCCAAGGACTAGACTGTTGAGCAAAATAGTTGCTAATTTAACATGTGACTTAGGGACAGAAATAAATGCCGGGAAGATCACTGGGTGCTATTGTCTGAATCAGATAAAGCTCTCTTGCACAGCTACACCATTGTTACTCTCAATCTGGCATGTGCTGCTGATAAATTAGTGATAAATTCCTTGTCACTAAGGTCCATATGAAATTAAAGAAGCCCCTTTAATAATATAATATTGTTCACTACAAAGCTAGTGCTAGTTAATTTAAGTTCTAGCTGAACAAAGTTCTGTATTGTAGAGACAAATTAATTCCCGATCTATTCTTTCCATTAGCACTTTATAAAGGTAGACTCCACTTGCAACAGTTCATTTAGTGATCATTTGAAGTTACAACGGCACTGAAAAACATGGCTTGCAACTGTTTTCACACTTACAACCGTTGCAGTATCCCCCAGGGTCATGTGATCAAAACTTAAGATGCTTGGCAACCAACTCGTATTTAGGACGGATGCAATGTCCTGGGGTTCATGCAGCCACCCTTTGCGACTTTCTGACAAGCAAAGTCAATGGGGAAGCCAGGTACATCTAACAACTGTGTGACTAACTGAAGAGCTGCAGGGATTCGCTTAACAATTGTGGCAGGAAAAATCGTAAAACGGGGCAAATTGTACTGGACAAAATGTCTCACTTAGCAACGGAAAATTGGGGCTCAGTTGTATGGTTGTAAGTCGAGGACTACCTGTACTTTCTCTAGATCAGGACTCCCAAACCAGACATCCTTCAGATATATTGGAGCCTAGTTCCCATGAACCAAAAGCAACATGGCTATTGGTTAGATCAGTGGTTCCCAAACTTGGCAACTTTAAGACTTGTGGACTTCAACTCCCAGAATTCTCCAGCCAGCTCTGCTCTGCTGGCTGGAGAATTCTGGGAGTTGAAGTCCACAAGTCTTAAAATTGCCAAGTTTGGGAACCACTGGGTTAGATGATGGGAGTTTGTCAAAGCTGTCTCAGATGCAATTAAACCATAGGTACAAGATAAGGGGTCAGATGTAGCACTGACCAGCCTTGCTTTTGGGGATTCACATTAGAAAGAAATATGTGAAAGAACCATTGAGAGATTTGGTCTCTCACACAGGGATTGGCCACACACCAGACGAGGGCCATTATCATAATGCAGAGATCCAATGACCAAAGAGAGAGGAGAACAGTGCCAACTTGCTTGGAAAAACTCCCTGAGAATCAGAAGTTCTTGAAAATAAGTAGCAATTGCAATAGCAATAGCAGTTAGACCTATATACCGCTTCATAGGGCTTTCAGCCCTCTCTAAGCGGTTTACAGAGTCAGCATATCGCCCCCAGCAACAATCCGGGTCCTCATTTCACCCACCTCGGAAGGATGGAAGGCTGAGTAAACCTTGAGCTGGTGAGATTTGAACCGCTGAACTGCAGATAGCAGTCAGCTGAAGTGGCCTGCAGTACTGCACTCTAACCACTGCGCCACCTCGGCTCTAAATAAACATGTATAGAGAGATTAATTAGAACATAATTCACCCACATCTACACCATTGATAAACTATTTTAGTAGCCTATTTTTTGCCAACTTCGATGGATCCAATAGCTTAAGTTATTGGAGCCTCTTCCTGACAACATTCAAATGCTTAATTTTTTTAAATCATAGGTTGCTTTGGTACTTTCCATATATTTGTCCAACTATTTAGAAACCCCAATTTTTGTCTATGTTTGGCACTTTTTACGCTAATAAAAAGGAGGCGTACACATAACGCTGTTATAAAATAATACTTACTTTGGTGACAGCCTTTGAAGAAAAAGTAATTTCATCCAGAAAGTTGATAATATCTCCTGGGTAAAGTCTATCGAAGTATTTGGCACAAACGTCGTAAGCATGAAGCCATTCTGGTGGGGTTTCTGGAACCCTTTTAATCAGATGGGAATCCCCGTTCCAGAACAATTTTTTAATCCAGGCAGCATAGACAGAGCTAGGAGACAGTAACCTCCCATCTTTTCCTGGGATTTTAGGAGCAAGCTTGGAAATCGGCAGAATATTTTGACATGTGAGGATAGGATCCAAAGCTTCCAGAGGGTCTGCGTTTTCTTCCGTTAGTTTTTTATAATTAAGACCTGTTAGCAGAAAAAAAATATATATGAGCAGCAGTCCTTATGGATCAGCTATGTTAGAAATTGAAATAAAATGAGAAGGACGATTTATGGGTATTGGGATTCTATTACCAGTGCATAATTTTCATCGCATTACAGTAAATACTTTTCTCCAATTTAAAGGCATGGAATATTATGTTATTATGTTAACAGAGGCATAACAGAAGTAGGGAGAGAAAAGGTGGGAGGCATATCAAAAGCCTCAAAGAGGAGACTCATTTAACCTCCCACTTCATGAGCTTTAAAGTTGTTACAGCAGGATAAAGGGATATAAATTTACCACTCTTCCTACCACTCCTAGATCAAAATTACACATGATGACATTCTTACCAGCCGTCAGTATGTTCAAAGGGCACTAAAAAGCATTTTCATGCGTACTAAATTTTGTCTTTAAAGCACCTCTGGATGGAGGAGTTTATCAATGGTATAGATGTAGGTGAATTTATATCCCTTTATCCTGCTCTAACAACTTTAAAACTCATTAAAGGGGGGGGTAAATAAGTCTCCTCTTTTTGGCTTTTTTTATT